CACCACAGACAACCAAATCAGTAATGAAAAAAGGCAACATTCTTAGAAAAGTAATCGACAGCAGTCGGGAATGCGGAATAGGAGGAAGGAAGGAGGAAGACACAAATCAATTAAAACACGCAAAAACCTTCCCATGGATTCGACACAGTAGTGGAGTGGTACCACTTTTCACTTCTTAACGCCAGTCACACCGAATCTTTTCTTAGACTGGATTTTTTTGATAGACAACACGCACAAGAAGTACAGCAGGCTACAGAAGGCTTTCCAGTTGCACCTGCAAAAAGCGTATTACTGAAGTTTGACTTTAAATTTCGAATGCGAGTAGTTCATGGCTGGGACGAGTGGAGAGAGAAGCGAGGTGCGGGAAATGAAAACAGTCTCCAAATGCATCTTCCCTTTTTCTACGCTACATTTCTCCGCCAGCAGAAGCCAAAACTCTGTCGACATCCGCCTTCTGTAAAAGAGCGAAACAGTCGAAAGAAGCCTACTGAATGATAGCACACAACCAATATTAGCCATTCGCTGGTACTTCCGTTGGCTATCCTTTTTGAGGGTTCTATAGTCCCGTATGCGCTAATACAGTTTGCCGCCGAAACAAAGCTCTCTATCAAAGACAATATTTTAAATCCAACTGACAACACTCCACACTTGCCGGCGTGATTATAGGTTTTTGAATGATTCCATCCCGCATAGCGATCGTCTGTACTGGGTCTGACCGTGATACTGCAGCTTGGAAATTTGATGAGCCTATACGCAAGACACATGAAGCTCATTTTACGCTTGCTGGCTCGCATATGAACAGCAAGCATTCTCAGAAAAATAATGCTTTCTGCTCAGCCTGTTACCGATTTAATTGGGCGTCAACAGTTTTCTAAACCTAACCTACATTTAAGCGAAGAACGAGGCGTGCTTTAAAACTCAGTATGAATTATTTCGGTTTTACAGTGGTGTAGAATATCCTCGTAAAATTTCAGCTTTCTAGCTTAACTGGTCAGCGAAATCGCTTTTCTTCACACACACTTTTGATGTATCTAAATAGTCTATACAGGCACGCGCCAAAGCTTATTTTATGCCCCCAAGCTCTCGTATGAGCAACAAATATTCCTGTAAAGAGGCCGTCGCCAGTCTTGCCATATGGGTGACTGCTGTGGGCATTTGCTACCACACGGGCTAGTTCTCGAGTGATTCCGCTATTCACAGGCAGCGAATACAGAGGAACATTTCAATCAGTTTATTTCCCGAACTGGCATTTTGCCAGCGGCGACGAAATTTTAACTTTGATGCGTCCATACTTGTGACGTAGGCATGCATTAAAGCTGAATTTAAAATCTTTAGCATACACCAAAACATAGAACTTCCGTGTAAAATCCAGCTTCATATTTGCTCTTGCTCCTGAAATCGCTTTTCTACCAAAAAATTGCATGAATTCTTTTAGGCCTCCGTATGTGAGACTCAGGAATAATTGAACCAATTTTAAGTTTTTTGGATGGCACGTGGACTAGAAATATCCTTGTAGAAATTTAGATCCTAGCTTTTGCAGTTGCTGAGTTGACTGTGGGTGACAAAAACCCGAAACAAATAAACAAATAGACACACACACACACACACACACACACAAACACAAAAATAAACATAAACACCGACAATTTCTCAACAATATTTGTTTCTGTATTTGCATAAAATGAAAAAAACGCAAAAATGCTTGGCATATTCCTTCATGACCATATAAACCCAGGCTGGAACGCACCGGGCGGGTCTGTGCGATCATGCGTTTTTGCACCGGATTTGAAGTACTCAGGTCATTAACTACATGAATGACTTTTGCTTTACACCTGCTCTTTGCGGTCACTAGCATAAATCACCATAAATTTTGCATAAAGTAAATGTACAATTTCCATTTAACGGTGGTTCTTTAAAAGTAACCTAGCTGTTCAGTGCGAAATTTTTCCGCCAAAGCTTTTAAGTGCCCGTATGTAACAACTA